TATGCATCATATGCAACAGATGTTCTGTGGAAGGCTTAACAACTTCTGTGGGTTAACAAGGCTTAACAACTTCTGTGGGTGTACGAACGTAGGCTTAACAACTTCTGTGGGTGTGTACTCCACGCCAGTGTAGTAGCCACGGTCGTCCGCAGGCCACGAAGTGAAGTGTCCGAACGTCATAGGGCGGGAAGCTGGGTGTGGGTGGTGGCGAAGAGTCGTGTGGATATTTGGTAGAGCTTGCACTGCCCCCCCACAAAGTGGGGGTATTGGCTGGCGTCGCATGAAAACCCTGGCACTGGTGAGAACACTGAGCGTTCGGGTAAAGTGATTGTTGTTGTTGTTGTTGTTGTTGTTGTTGCTCGGGAGCGTTGGCGGACGGTCCGGGACGAGAAGCCGGCCCCGGGGAAGTGGTCCAGGCCTCCGGGGCCCGCGTATCGAAAAGGTTGGGGCAGCCAGACGTCTGGGCCCCCGGGCCTCCGACGGTGCCCACCGGTCGCTGAGCGCAGGTATTTGTTGGGTCCCCACCTGCCTGTCTGCTCTCTGGGCGCCTTCCTGCTGCAGTCGTCGAGTGGTTTTGCCCTCGCCTTCCTCTGCGGGGGGGCGGGCGGAAACCCGGCCTGCTTGCAACGCCTTCCCGCTTCAGGTGTCGACCCACCTCTGCGGACCGAGGGATGCGATTCTTGCGACCCCGACGTTTTGCCTCGGTTTCGGCCCCCGGGGCTCGTTGCCGGGCCTGGGGGCCGTCGGGAGGTGGACCCCGGGGCGGAGATCTGGCCCCGGGGAAGGGTCAGTCGAGTAGGGGATCGACTACAGAATGGATTTGCCCCAGAACGGATTTTTGTCGTCGAATCCCCGAGCAATTCGTACAATTCTCGCTGGCCTTCGAATCGTATACGGCTTTTAATTGAAGGTTCGACGCGAAAGTCAAGTGTGTGGTAAATCAATTCTGCAGTCGATCCCCTACAGGGTCCGCTTGAATAAGGAACACTTCCCTTTCAAAAGGGGCTCGGTAGTTCCTTTGGTTTGCATGCGTTCCGCTACCTTTTTGGCGGCGAGCCCCCTGGTGTTCCTTCAGAGTGTGGCGGAACGCCGCTAGAAAGGGGATCGGCCGTTCCTTCGGACTTCGTAGACTTACTTGGAAAAGGGGGGCTTCGTTCCTTATTGATCTTTCCTTAGGTCAGGCGGGATGCTGTACTCGAGTCAGAACCTCCTGGTGCCGCGCATGGAGCAGATCATGTCAACGGATGTCCAGGCGTACGGGCAGCCGCGTCGACGAGAAGCCTCCAGGAGGCCCGAAAGGGGCCCCAGAGGAACCTCGATCCTCGAACCTCGGTCGTCGATCGTCGATCCTCCTCCTCCTTTTTTACGTTAGGCAAGCATTAAGGCCAAGCTTGTTGCGTTCAACCTCCTCCTCTTCCCTCTCCTCCTCTCCCTCTTCCTCCCCCCAGCTGTTCCTCCCAGGGGGAGCTTCCTCCACCTCCTCCTGCCCAAGCCAGCGCGGCAGTCCACCTTCGGGCCGTCCTCCCCCCACCCCCCGTTGGCGGCGCGCGCGGCGCACGCGAGGGAGTTTTGGCGCGACGGGGGCGGCTTTCTCTGCGAACGGGGGAGGGGGGGTTCTCAAAGAGGGCAGGGGTCTTCTCAGATCGGGCGACGAGATCTATACGCGTCCCGTGCCCCAGGCCTGGCCCAGCCTGGGCCCGGGAGCGGTGCGCGTATGCGTCCCCGGCCAGTGGCAGGAGGGCGTAGACGTTGCCCCTGGGCCCAGGATGGGCCGGGCCTGGGGCCGTGGACGGATTGCAGATCCCGTCGCCCTGTGAGGAGGGCCCCGATGCTTCTGAGGAAGGCTCCGTGGAAGCTGGGAGGGGGAGGAGGAGGAGGGGGAGGAGGAGGAGGAGGAGGAGGAGGAGGAGGAGGACCAGTGTAAAACCAAGAGTCATCAACGATGTTGGAATTCACCCTCCCTCCAGGCTCCATTGAAGGAACTGCCTCGTTGGAAGATGACCGTTTGAAAATCCTGAAGCATGCCAGAACAGTATTCTCGGGATTCCAACGCCATGTATCAACCTGACTGCTGCGTCTTGACGATCCGGAATCGTGCCAGAGCGCCATTTTTGGGACTTCAGCACGCGAATCCTGAACCCTTCCAAGAAACATTATTTCCGGTACGTTGATCATGGGAATCCGTGAAAAGCTTGCAATTTTTTATAACGAATGTGAGCGGCGCTAAGGCGAGATCCACGTTTTGAAAACGACCCGCCTTCAATCCGTGAAACTCCTACAATTTTTAAAACGAATGTACGCGGCGTTGAGGCGAGAACCACATATTGAAAAGAAACCGCCCTCAATCCGTGAAGCTCTTGGAATACATATTGAAAACGAATGTGCGCGGCGCTATGGCGAGAGCCACATTTTGAAAACTACCCGCCCTCAATCCGTGAAGCTCTTGCAATTGTTTAAAGCGAATGCGCGCGGCGCTAAGGCGAGAGCCACATTTTGAAAGCGACCCGCCTTGAATCCGTGAGACTCTTGCAATTCTTTGAACGAATGTGGGCGGATCTAAGGCGAGAGCCACATTTTGAAAACCACTCGCTGTCAATCCGTGAACCTCTTGCACATTAAAAAAAACGAATGTGCGCGGCGCTAAGGCGAGAGCCACGTTTTGAAAACCACCCGCCTTCAAGCCGTGAAGCTCTTGCAGAATAGAATGTGCGCGGCGCTAAGGAGATAGCCACACTTTGAAAACCACCCGCCCTCCATCTGTGAAGCTATTGTCGTTTTTTTTTAAACTTCGGAGTCATGAATGGTGAGGAAGTCTCGGGCGAAACGCCCGGCCCGCCCTGCAAACTGGCCTCGGGGTGCGACAGGGAGGAGTTATCTATAAGGAGAAGGAATGGAGGAGGAGGAGGAGGAGGAGGAGGAGGAGGAGGAGGAGAGGAGGAGGCGGAGGAGGAGGAGGGAGGAGGAGGAGGAGGAGAAGGATGATGATGATGATGATGATGATGATGATGATGATGATGATGATGATGATGAGGAGGAGGAGAGGAGGAGGAGGAGGAGGAGGAGGAGGAGGCGGAGGAGGAGGAGGAGGAGGAGGAGGAGGAGCTGGAGGAGGAGGAGCAGGAGGAGGAGGAGGAGGAGGAGGAGGAGGAGGAGGAGGGGGGGAGGAGGAGGAGGAGGAGCAGGAGGAGGACCCTCGCGGAACCTCCCGCGCCTCGCTTCCTCGGAAGCGCCAGCCCCTCGCGCCCACCCCCTCGCGCTGGACTTCCGACCGCCGTGCTCTCTGCGCAGCGCGGGCTCCCGGCCGCAGGGTTGCGGAAGGTGCCCGTGGCCCTTAAGGTGCCGTGCCCCCCAGTTTTTTTTTCGCTCCACTTTGAGGCCACTGGGGCCCTCTGGGCCTCGTGACCCAGACATGATCGCGTCGTAAAGAAAGAAGTCGGGACGGACGGTTTTTGGCCATTTTCGGCCTCGGGGGGCACTCGCCGGGCCTGGGAAGCGTAAAAAAACGACGCAGGATGAAAAACCGGCCCCGGGGAACGGGTCGGAACTTCCGGGGACCCCGTCCTGAAAAAATCAGGACGTCGCATGTCTGGGGAGAGGGGTGCGCTGGAGGCCGTGGGGGCCTCCCTGGAGATCCTGGGGGCACCTTGGGCCAGGGGCATTGCTAGCAACGCCCGATCCTGGAGGTCCTGCCATCTTCCCCATGGGTGTCTTTTTTTTCGCCCCGAGCCGGTGTTTCACGGCCCCGGGGCCCGGTGGGGACCCTTGAAGGCTGAAACTCGGCAAGCACCTGGCGCTGGCCGGGCCTCACAAATGGAGTACGAGGAGGTGGGGTCGTAGGATCGCGCCGCACCTCCGATGCATCGGCGATGCGGCTCGATGTGAAGCCCGATTTTCTCCACGCCGACGTCGCCAGCGCATCGCCAACGTCGCCGATGCATGGGCGATGCATCGGCCATACTGCGCGATCCTCCGACCCCTTCTACTCGGACCGCCTTTCGGAAGCCTCTACACCGTGACTTTTCTCTGCGAACCTTTGCGAGCCCTACCCCTAGGGGTCCAGTCGACGTTGGGGGATCGGACACTCCTGCTTGGGGTTCACCTTGCTGCAGACATCCTTCGAACTTCCCTAAAAGCGTTTCGCTAGAGGCGTCCACAGTAGGTCCAAAGAGTCTCACAGAAGCGTTTCACAGGAGGGCAGGGAGCCCTAGACCGCCAGGTCAGGCAGCCGTTTCGCTTGAGACTTCCTTGTTCAGGAATCGTGCTCTCGCCTGAGTGCCGGCTACACTTGTGGTCTGGCCAGCCGCGATCCCTGGCAGAGAAGTCACTAAGGTGCACAGGACCCTGCGTCTCCCAGGGATCCAGGAATCCCTCGCAGTGCACTTGCACGTTGTCGCCAGCGCCTTCCTGCTCCTCGACCCACCGCTTCACCCCTGCTGCCGTCAGGGCGCTCGGCCGGGGTAACTTAGAGTACCCGACCTGCGGGGGCACGGGCTCACGTGTGATTGCCTGTCTGCGTCGTGCGCGCCGCCTGCTTCCATCCTGCGACCTGAGCCCCGCCCCACACCCGCTTCAGGGGCAACGACAGGGGGGGGACAGGCTCGGGGGGGGGGCGGATGATTGACGCATCGACTCCCAATCGCCCATGCATCGCCGACGTGGCCCCGATAGCCCGCCCTGCCCAGGAGCGTGCGGATTCGCTAGCGGGGGCCCGTCTCCGATCTATCGGCGATGTATCGCCGATTCTGGCTCGATGCCCCCCCCCTCTCATCCGGCCCCCTGGTGGTTTCCCGGCCGCACCTCGGGCCTCCGGCGGGTGTTCTGGACGGTCTGGGCACCCCAAGGGAGCGCTCTCGGGAAAGGCGCTGCCGACGGCCAGCGCGCACCCCGAGGCTGGAAGGGGCCGCCGGGAGCCGAACCGCGGAGGTTCTGAAACCCCAGGCCTCCAAGCTCGAGGCCTCGAGAGCCAGTTCCCCGCCCCCTCCCCAACGTTGCCCCTCGAGTCCCCGCGCGGCGCAATGCAGCCCCTCGCCCGCGCCGCCCCGGCGCGCCTCGCGTGGCTCGCGGCCGCGGCGCTGTGCTCGGCAGGACCCGCCCTCGAGGGGGCTGCGGCCGCGGCCGCCGGGTTCCGCTTCGGGCCGCGTCGATCCGAGTCGAGCCCAGACGTTCTAGTCCTCCCAGATGGAGTCGCAGTAGATCAGGAGGGAAAAAAGTCACAGACACAATTAAGCGTCGATTCCCAGGAACAGATGCGAAAATATGGGAAGTGGGGGGAAGACGGAGATCCCAAGCATATGTGGAGATATGGGGAATCCTGTTATTTGCGTCCATGTACTTGTGTGTCCCAGGGTCCCCTCACAGATGGGGTCGCAGTAGATGGTGGTCGTTTCTTATTCATCGTTTTGCTGATCGGCGCGGGCCCTCGGACCCCCCCCCCTCCCCCCCATCCGTGGAGCAGATCTTGGCTGTTTTTGGCGCCTGTTCCAGTCGGGTGGAGCCTCCTCAACAGGACGCCCTGCTGAAAACAGGTGCATTAAGCAGAGATCCAGAGCCAGACCCCCCCTCCCACCCCCTCCTCCGCCCAATGTCGAAACGCCGAATATGGGGTCGGAGGATCACGCCGCATCGCCGATGCGCCTCGATGTTGAGCCCGACCTTCTTCACGCGGACGTCGCCGCTGCATCGCCGACGTCGCTGGTGCATCGCCGATGCATCGACGATGCATCGTCGATGCGTCGGCGATGCGGCGAGATCCTCCGACCCCATCTACTACGACCCCGTCTGGGAGGCTTCTGGACATGCCCGCTTCGTAACAACAAATCACGGCGGGGGACCGAAAGAGGAGAAGAGGTCTTTCAACTTGCAATGCAGCGCTGCCGCTACGGGCCCTCAGGAGAGTCTGCTAGTTCTGATCTGGCCTGCCTAAAAGACGCGGATGCATGTCAAGTCCTGCCTGTCACAACGTGTGAGCTGAAACGCAATGCTTGGGAACCGTCTCAATGTTCCCGAGCTGAAGCGCATGCTCGTGTCGTAACAGACCTGACGACGGGAGTTTTTTGTTTTGTTGTTTTTTTGTTGTTTTTGTCATTTTCGGCCTTCCGGAACCCTCGCTAGGCCCCAGGACCGTCAAAGAACGGCTCGGGATGAAAACCGGTGTCGGGGAAGGGGTCTAGAACTCCGAGAGAGCGCGTTTCACGGGCGCTTGCCTTGGGAACATTCGGCGGCGCGTTTCGAACCGGGGGTTGGGCCCCCCCCCAACATTCGGCGCCGTCGATCAAAACCAGGGGGACTCCCCTCAGCGCTGGCGCTGGCGCCGGCGACGACGGGGACGCAGCGACGATTATCACCACTACCACCACCACCACTTCCACCACCACCACCGCCTCAACCCACCACCACCAAAACCACCAACCCACCACACAACCACCACCACCACCACAAACCACCACCACCACCAGCACAACGACGAGGCTGAGGATGAGGAAGACCCCGACTGCTCTCGTTTAGTATTCGTGGTGAATCACGAGGTTGAGCAGTTGATGGTCACGAACCCCGAACAGCCATTGGAGTGCGCCCTCCTGCGGGCGCTCTGGAACCACGAGAAAGAGTTCCCAATGGATCTCATCAGTCGTTATCAATGTATGGTGGCTGAGGGGCTGGCGCCGGCGGACGACGACCTCACTGAGGCCCAATGGTGGTGCGAGTATCAGCCATCGGGTTGGGACTGGTAGGCCGAGTTCGCTCCTTCTGTATGTGTACATACTTTCAACATCGTCATTTCCTCCTCCTCCTCCTTCCCCACCTCCTCCTCCCCCCCTCCTCCTCCTCGTCCTCCTCCTTCTCCCCCTGCCTGGGTGTGAGCACCTCGGGCACGCAGCGTTACCCGATAGCGCCGAGAGCCGGCCGCAACGAATCCGAGGCATGCACTTTAGGCGTCGCCCGGATTGCCGTTACGACGTTTTTTTTTTTTTTGCTTGGCGCACTGGGCGGATCGGGAGGCATCCCGCGGGCGGGCAGTGCCTTCCTAGCCGGAGGCCCCCTCCCGAGTCCGAGCTGTTGTCCACTGCAGCTCGCACAAGCGGCTATCAACGATGATTGCCGGGCGCGGGTACACAGGATCAGCTCTGGCCGAGGTACTGGTTGGAGCTCTGTTCAGGTGCTTCGCTCTGGTCTAATTCGGTGCCAGTCCAGGGGACTGTCTCCTTCTGCCTCTGAGATTCCGTCGGCTGCCCCTGGGCCGCCTGCTGAGTGTCAGAATTGGACGGAGCATTGCTATTGCTCTTCCGCCGCCGCTGCGGAGCCGCCGCCCGCGTACCGCGGGTCGCCCTTCTTGGCCGTGGCATAGGGGCATGGCGGCCTTTGGGCACCTCCGCCGCGACGCAGCCTGTGGCGGAGGTTGACCACATGATAACAACATCTTCGAGTTCACTGAGCTCCTCGGCGCACGACTTCACTCGTTGAGGTCCTTGCGATTTCGCTTTATAAGCGATTCCAGCATTTCCC